GTCCCTTCTTATCTCCCAGCAGGGCCCCCCCATTGGCCAAACCCCATGAAAGACTGAGAGCAAGGGAGCCTGGGAGATGTAGTCCACAGGGGTCAGCTTCCTGGGCACTGAGCTGCTGGAGAGTGAATAGCGGTGGGGAGCAAAAGGCGAATGATTGGCACCGTATGATGCACTATCGTTCATGGGCACTATCCCCTGCCATTGGAGGGGAATCGGGTCCAGAGAGCCTGTCCTTCTCGTGTTGTTCCTCTCCAGTTTGGTCACTGAGCTCTAGCACGTGGTTAAGGCTGCAGCCCCTTCTTTCTGGGAGTCTGCATTCTTCCTCCCTATGACAGGCAGAGCAGGCTAGATACAAGAACCCTGGCTTGCTGTGAGTGAACCCAGGTATCAGTCCTGGTTCTGCCCCTTGCAGCCATGTAACCGTGAACCAGCCAATTCTGTCAGGGCTTCAGTCTTTCCATCTGCAATATGGGAATATGTATCCCCGTCCAGTCCATTGTGAGGCCAATAATAATGAAAGCTAACAGATACCGTGCGTTTACACAGTGCTTTAGATTAACTCACTGAATCCTCATCATGTTGTACAATTATTAGCACCATTGTATACATGAAGAAATCGAGGCATAGAGAGGTAAAATAACTTGCCTAAGGTCACAGAGCTTACATGTGGCAGAGCTGGAATTCACACCCAGACAATCTGGCTCCCAAGCCATGCTCCTAACCACTATGTTATGCTAATGGTTTATAAAGCATCCAACAACCAGTAGGTGCTTACTAATGGTAGTGGTTGACAGCATTGTGTCAGGAACTGCTGGGCTGGTCCTTGTAGCCAGTCACTCTGGCCGGCCTGGCCACAGGATCCCCGACCTAACCATGGACCGGCCAGCCTCCAAGAGCACATCCTGCAAATGCTGCCAGACAGTCCCATACCTTACGCCTCTCCTAGGGCTATTTAGTATTTCCAGATGAATTTGGAGTCTGTAGTTGTTTTTCTCCCTGACTGGCAGCTGCAGTGGGCAATGCGGAGCTACGGAAGGACATTTTCTTTTGTTTTCAGCTTTGATGCTGGGGATTTCGCATATCATTATGCTTGTGGCTAAGGACCTGCCATTATCTTCCCTGGGATTCTTGCAGTTTGTGAATTTCCTAAAGGATCCCGGCTCTCTGTCCGCTTCTGCTTTAGGACAGGCTACTCTAAGCTGCCCTCTGATTCCTCCGGGGGAGGGGAGGTATCTTCTTTTCCATTGTAATGTTTTAATATTCATCTTGATGTGTGGGTCTTTGGGAATCAGGAACTTGTTTAAGTTTTTGTATGTCTGTGTACGTGTGTGTGTTTGAGAGAGGGTGCTAAGAACATGAAAAATAGCTTTTACAAAAATATTTTAAATTTTAGTGCTCTGGTTCCCAAATCCAGGGCCATTGTCTGCTGAAAAAGTCTGAATTTCCTGGCTTACCATCTTTCATTAAGGACCACCCATAATAATATCATTTCCCCAGCTAACTTTGTTTAGGGGGTAAACACTTAACTGCTTAATTCATTATTACTGAGTCTGAGACGGTTACAGATGCCTTTGGAATACGAGCCCCACATCTAATAAGGCACAGGCTCACGATGCGCTTGGAATATGGTGGGGAGAGACGGCTGAAATTTATTTTGTGAATAAAGCAATAAGCCACTAAGCAAAGCTAATATGTTTCAGCCCAGACAGAAAGACACGATCATTCAGTATTTATGTAGCAACCCATTCCTCAGTGGGACTGCAAGTTTCTACCATTAAAATTGTCGGAATTCTTCAGAGACCTACTGCATTAAGTCATTTAAAAATATCACAGACTTAAAACAATCTGACTTATTGGATTTTCTCGCTGCTCGTCGGTAAGCATGTTTGCTGTGGCAATTTCCTGCTTGGTCAAAGGTGCAGCCTCCCTCAGTCAGGAAAGTGGAAAAGTTCCATGCAGAATTTTTATTTGGAAGCCCAGTAGTCCTTAACAGCTGACACAAAGTCAGACCTAGATTTGTCTTTTTTCTTTTAACTTTTAATTTTAACATAATTTTATATTCCCAGAAATGTTGCAAGTACAAAGAATTTCTGTGTACTTGTCACCTAAAGTCCTCAAATGTTAGCAGTTTGCAACATTTGCACTATCACTCTATATAGATAGATCTAAATATATAAATATATATTATTTTCATCAGCGCTAACTCTGTTTGAGAGTTAGTTGCAGAGATGGTGTCTGTCTCTTTATCCCTAAATACATCAGTGTGTTTTCTAGAAACAAGACTATTTTGTTACATAGTCACAGTATAATGATTAAAATCAGGAAATTAACATTGATACAATACTATTGACTTTATTCTAAATTTGCCACTGGTTCCAATTCATCCATTTTATAGTAAAAGAAAATCCCGGATCATACGTTATATTCACTTGTCAAGTCTCTTTAGCGTCCTTTAATCTGGAATAGTTCCTTAGTCATTCTGTGTTTCATGTGACACTGACATTTTTGAAGAGAACAGGCTGTTTATTTTGTAGAATTTTCCCTCCTTTTGGGGTTGTCTGATATTTAGATTCAGATTATGCACTTTTGGCAGGAATACCAGAGAGGTGATGTGTCCTTCTCAGTACATCATATCATGAGGTACATGATGGTAACATGTCCCATTACTGCAAAATCAGACATAAGTTTAAAATAATCTTTTATCAAAACCATGGTTTATTAAACACTGCTTGGAAGGGTTTCAGTACTCACTCCAGATTTTTTATTACAGGTCTTTTAAAAACAGACTCAAAGACAAGGCAGCTACAAGCTTTACAGATGATCAGGAGAAAATGTAGCCGTTTAAAAAAATTGCAATGCGATAGTTATGAAATTTCCCTAAATTCATTTTGCAGAATGAGAGCTGTAATTTAAACGTGAAGATATCGAGAGCTGAGATAAACCACAAATCACGTGCAATTTAATCTGGCAGGGAAACAGGCCACTCGGAATTGCTAACTAGGCCTAATTCATTACATGTTGGTGAACGCTGTACTTTTGGTCTTAGGAGTCTTTCAACTCCTGCATTCATATATTTACCCAGACTGCATGGAAAATGTATGGGGATGGAAACAGAAATACTGTATCCTTGTTTAAATCACATTACATTTTTTAAACAGCTCGAATGATTGCTCAGAAAGATCACACCTTCTTCTGAAGCATTTATGAAACAATTATTTACATTACATTAAAAACTTTAATTGCCTCGAAGCACGTGCTCTGAGACACGAGTATTGGAAAATCATCAAAAATATCCATCACAATTCTCTTTCCTTTACAACTCTTCTAAACTTTATCTTTTTTATAACCCACTGTATTGATCTATTGTCCCAGACCAAGAGTGATGTCAGAAGTCCAAGCTGGGTCATAAAAAGAATATAATTTCCATTTGCTGTTCATAAAAGCAAATCGTTTGATCCAAGAAAAAGGGGGAAATGCCCCCTTTTTTGGGGGAGGATGGGGGTGGAGCGGTATGTGGCAGGGGCACAGGCCGGAGAGGAAGGGTGACCCCAGGGTCAGGGAAAGAGGGTAAGTGGTTGGTGATGGAGGGCGCTGGGAGTATGGGTTTCTCCTAGGGGTGAGATATTGGGAAGGAACTGGGGACCTCAGGTTTGCACAGAGGCGAGAAGAGAAAGAAAAATGTAAAACAAGAAATTTGGTCACCTCTGTTGTCCAGAGTCGGAGGAATTGCAAAAGACCGGAACCTCCCTCGAGCTAGGCTAAAGACCCTCTCCCAAAAGACAATCATAATAAAGGAACGTCATGTTGCAAAGGATGGACCCCGGAATAACAGTGACGATAGGAACCACCTCTAATAATAATTAAAACAGTAAAAGGTCTTCACATTGCAAAGTTGTGGGGCATACCCTACAATTGGGTTAAAGACCCCCCCAAATAATAACGGTAACCTCTATTACAAAGGGCCTGAAGCTCCGCCCCACCCCCAGCCCCGCGAAGAACCCTGAGCCATGGCTAAGAAGACCCACCAATAATAATAATATAGTGGCATGGAAACCGTGCGCCGCAGTGGTGACATTTCCCATGACTCAGTGGCGCCCCCGGACGGATGCCACCCTCCCGTCCGCCGACCAGTCTACGCAGCCCCAAGTGCGGGCTGCAACCCTCGGATCCCAAGCCTATCTGGCGAAGGAGCGGCGGCAGCCCGAGGCACGTGTCGTGTGTGCTCCGATTGCAAAAGAAAAAAATGCATAGCAAACTATTAACTTTTTTTTTTTAAGTGTGCAATGCTGGGAGTGGGGGGTAGACAGGTGCAGAGGGGGGGCAGGCGCCCTGCGCGCCTGCCTCCCGCAGCCCCCCCTCCCAAACTTCCCTTTGCATTGATCAGCACGTTACGTCAGTATTGATAAGTTTGCAAAAAGCCAAAGTCAAGTGCAATCGCGCGGCACACCGACCCCGGACTTGGGGGGGAGATGCAGCGAGCGCTCCGCGGGCCCGGGAGCCGGCTGCAGGCAGGGCAGCGGTGGCGCCGGCGCCTCTCGGAG